CCGCTTCTTGGAAACCCTATGGCAGTTCTACTCTTTCCTATAGGGTCACTATGAGTCGGAATTGACTCGACAGCAATGGGTTTGATCTTTTTTTGTTTGTTTATATGTAATATTTCAAGGCAGAAATAGAGAGAAAATTTAAATGTACGAAATCTCTTGTCTAACATGTGGAAATCAAAGTTATTCTTCATCTTGACTTTGATAATTAGACAAATGTATGAAAAAGCATGTTTTAAAAAAAAATTTAAGTGTCAATAGTTAGACTTTACAACAGATTGTATATACCTTTTAGATATCTTCAGAATATAAAAGTAAACAACATAGTTCATGTAGCAAAAGGCAGAAACAATGAGTACAGCAATAACATAAAAATCACAAATATTCTATATCTTAGTTTGATAAGTAGTGTCTGGGGTTTTAACAGCTTCCGAACAGCCATCTAAGATACAACTATTGACCTCTACTCATTCGTAATAAAAGAGAATGAAGGAAACCAAAGATTCAGAGAAGTCCACAGGGCTAATTAATAGTCTTTACGAACCACTACCTCATCTACCCTCGGACCAGAAGAACTAGATGGTACCCAGCTACCACTACCGACTGTTCTGATCAAGAACATGATAGATGGATCCCAATAGAATGGGAGCAAATGTGGAACAGGACTCAAATTCTTAGAAAGTCCTAATTTACTGGACCAATTGAGACTGGAGGACTCCCCGAGACTATCACCCTGAGATACTCTTTAAACCTTGAGCCGAAACTATTCCATGAGTTCTTCTTTTAGTAAATAACAGAACGGCTCATAAAATAAACAATATCACCAGTGAGTACTGTGCTCCTTTAAAAATCATCTATATGAGACCAAACAGTCAACATTTACTCTAAAGCAAAGACAAGAAGTCAAGGGGGCAGGGCAACTAGATTACTGGAAATGGAACAACCGGAATGGAAATAATGAGAAAGTTGTGTAAAATGTAACCAGTGTCACTGAACAAATTGTGTAGAAATTGTTAAATGGGAAACTAATTTGCTGTGTAAACTTTTACCAAAAACACGATAAAATATTATTTAAAAAATACAACAAACATAAAGAAAGATGATAAAAATAAGACTACATACTCAATTTTCACAAGAAATATTAATCTTTAAAACTGCCCTCTTAAAAAGGCAAAGAGTGAAAATATTTTTAAAAATGAAGTTAGCTACATGCTATATTTAAAAGACAAACCTAAAATACAGCAATGCAAAGGTTAAAAATAAAGAGATACATAAAGTTATTCCATGAAAGTACAAGGAAAAGAAAGCAAAAGTGGCTCTGTTAACAGCAGACAAAATAAAATTCGAGGCAAAATAATATCAGCAAGAATAAAGAATATCATTTTATCTAAATAAATGCTATAATCTAGAAGGAAACATAATACTTATTGATCTTTATGTATAAAATAATAACATCAAAATAAGTTAACAGAAGTTTGATTACAGTAAAAAAACTAATATACTACTATCATACAATGACAGCAAGAATTTATACATATACGCACACATATACACACAGAAATTTCATTCTCTACAAGACAGTCTCCTTGTTTTAAGCATTCATGGACCATTGACTGAAACTAATTATAAACTAGTCCACAAAGAAATTTCAATAAATTCCAAAAAGTAGAAATAATTCAGTCCACATTTTTTGACCACAACACATAAGACCAGAAATTAAAAACAGAAGCTCAGTCAAAGAAACTTCAACCACTTGGAATCAAGAAACTCTCTTCTAAATAAATACTGGGTCAAAGAGGAAATCAAATGGGTAACAGTTTGTTTAGGAAAGGAGAACAATACTTATCAAAACTTCCAAGTTTTCCCCAAATTCTTACTTAGAAGTAACTTCAGAGCCCTAGACGTTCTCTTTTAATTTTAAAAGGAAAGAAATCAATAAAGGCACTCAAATGAAAAGTTTAAAAAGATACCTGCACCACATACCCAAGTCCAAAATTGACCACTTTGAAAATATAATGAGAAAATATAACCAGAAAGGATACCATTCACAATGGCAACTAAAAAAAAACAACCTAGGAATAATTTTTACAAAAATTATCTGTAGGAATAAAACAAAATTTTATTGAGAAATATAAGAACATTTGGGGAAAAAATTTAGAGGTATACTATGTTTCTGATAGGGAGACTACATATTATAAAAATATAAACTAGTTTCTCATTTTTTTTATGTTTAATTGTGTACTGATAAATGTTTTAACAACTGGCTCTCCAAAAAATATGTGCGTGTGTGTGTGTGTGAGTATTTTTTTAATTTACTATGAATTTTTACATCTTACTATTTTTTTAAAATTTTTTTTATTGTGCTTTAGATGAAAGTTTACAGAGCAAATTAGTTTCCCATTCCATAGTTTGTCCATAAAATTCCATGACATTGGTTGCATTTCCCACAATGTGTCAGCACTCTCCTCATTTCCTCCCTAGGTTCTCTATTTCCTTTGGTTCTGATTTTCTACCCCTTCCTACCTTCTCATCTTTGCTTTTGGGGAAATGTTGCCCTTTTGATCTCATATAATTGATTGTTCTAAGGTGCACATTCCTCTCAGGTGTTAGTGTTCATATTATGGGCCTGTCTATTGTTTGGCTGAAAGGTGGTCTTAGGGAATGGCTTCAGTTCCAGGTCAGAATGATGTCTTAGGGCCATAGTCTCAGGGGTTTCTCCAGTCTCTGTCAATTTTTGTGAATTTGATTTTTTTGTTCTACATTTTTTTCCTGTTCTGTCTGGGACCCTCTGTTGTGATCCCAGTCAGAGTGGTCGGTAGTGGTAGCTGGGCACCGTCTAGTTCTTCTGGTCTTGGGGTTGTGTGTAGGCTGTGTGGTTCATGTGGTCCATTAGTCCTTTGAACTAATTGCTCCCTTGAGTCCTTGGTTTTCTTCGCTCTCCTTTGCTTTGGATACATCTTACTATTTTATACTATGTTTATAAATCATGTGTAGCATACAATTTACAAACAATAATAAAATACACAGTACTCTTTAATGTAAATTCCATATAGTCAATTGATTTTCACAAAATGCTTTTATTAATTTTTGCCAAAACTCTTGTATCTGTAGGCAACCTATGGCTGAAATTGAGGAATGAGTGCAGTTCCAGTATTAATATGTTCATTTACATTAATAAGACAAAAGTGAAACTACAAAGATGCCTTCTTTGCTGCATCGGATAATATTTTTCAAGTATTAAAAGGATAGTTCCTCAATTTTTACTCTATTTACAATGTAGTGGCTACAAACATCACAGATTTTTAAATTTAATTTGCTTTATTACTTATTTTCTGCATCACTTTCTCAACTCTGAATAATTAACAAAACAATAAATTGAGCCCTGATTTGCAGCAGTTGCTAGTTTCTGCGATGTAGAATACTCCCGTATTGGCTGATTTCAAGCTACCAAAGAGAAGTCTCCAGACAGGGAATTGGGAAGAGATGCACAGTAGCTCCCCTTTATCTAGTATTTTCACTATACAGATACAATAGATATACATAACCTCAAGAGCATAGATAATAGTAATGGATAGAAAATGTTAAGAAGTGATGAGTTTTGAGTATTGCCTATATAAGAACCTTAGATATAAAAGGAGGTGTCATACATCCCTTGAGAAAAGAAGGCTTATTCAATAAATGATGCTGGAATAATTGGTTAGTTACTCAGTCCATATTTCTTGGCCATAAACCACATAAGAAAAAACACAAACCATACAAGAAAAAAAAGGAAACGTATATCAAACAACTAGGAGGACTTTCTACTTTTACAAGTATCAGAGGTAATTTCAAAGGAAAGGTTTGGTAGAGTGGACTAAATTAAATGTGGAAAGTCAATTAATAGGATAAACTGAAAATATGGTGCCACTTTTTTAGGCTTGCACATTTGGTAGAAAATGGTTGGCGTCAGGAGATAAGGAAGATAACCACCCAGAATTTTTTCTGTTTAACCTTTTTCACATGCCTTGCTGTAATTTTCAAAGAATCTCAAAAAAAGTCATGTTCCAGAAAAGGGTTCATTCTTTCACAGTAGTTTGAGAAATGTTTTCCCAACGTCAAATTTGAATCTCTCCCAACATGACTGTATATTCTACCTCATTAGTCTTTCTTTAGTGAAAATAAAGAATAAATGAGAAAAATTTGAGATACATTTGAATATGCTGTCAACTTTAAAGGAGACAGATGAGAAGTAACGTTTGTATATGGGGTTGTCAACAGTCAGTCATGAATCAAAAAACAACCAGTATCAGGTTCCCTGGAGGTGGTGGGGGTCCCAACAGGTCAACAGAGCATAGCAACAGAGAAACTGGGGATGGCAGTGCTCGAAGTCTAGGCAGGTGGGATGTTGGTGTTCTGTTGCAGGAAGGTCCCAGACACCAGACTGGAGTTAGGGGCCAGACTCCAGTGCCCAGGAAGGGGGATCAGAAAGAGCTAGGTAAGGCCTGACTCAAGCTACTGGGCACATTGCTACTAGAGTGACGTAGAAATGTGGGCTAAGGCAGAAGCCCAGTTATTCAAACTTGGTCCATTGAGGAGGGAGAAGGCAGGCCATGGGGACTTGGGAGCAGGAGTCTTGTTAGTGGTGTCACAGTAGCAAGATGTCAGCAAAGGGAACACGGCCTTTGGAAAATTCTAGAGCAAACCCAGAAGGTCCCTAGGTGGCGCAAACAGTTTGCACTTGATTACTAACCTAAAGGTTAGCAGTTCTAACTCACCCAGTGATGCCATGGAAGAAAGGTCTAGTGGTCTACTTCTGTTAGGATTACAGCCAAGAAAACCCTATGGAGAAGTTCTACTCTGTAACACATATGGTTGCCATGAGTCGGAATCAACTCGAAACAGATTGGTTATTTTTCTTACTGTTGTTGCTGTTTTTTGTTGTTGTTTTTTTTTTTTTAAAGAGCAAGCCAGAGTCTAGAGGCACATAATTATTTTCAGTGTAATTCAAATAACACCAGCATTACCTTGGCAGAAGTCGCATCGTCCTGTTAGTGATACCTGTGTTAGACAGATTGAGATATAGGACCCCAGGGCAGCCCTCCGATATGTGCCTCATGGATTCATCCTACATTAAAAAAAAAAAAGGAAGAATATTATCAAACCCTAACGGACTTTGCTGTTTTCCCATCATCTCTCCATCATCTCTCTCTTGACCCAGGGGAAAAAAAAATATGCAAGAGTTGGTCTCTTCATATTCTTTTATATTAATCGTAAATCAAATTAAATAGAAGCCAATGGTTTTGCTTGAAGATTCATTCTTCCCTCCCTTTGTCTTTCTTTGGAAATAAATTGTCACATTCTATCACAATTCCACTTCATTAAAATTTGATCCCTTGCAAGTTCAACTCTGTGGCGGGAATTTTGAGCTCAAGTGTCAAAGTGTCACACACTTCCCACTCTTCAGATGTGTGAAAGCGATTTAAACTGATTCATTTTAAAACTCAACTAAAATCATTCCAAAGGACAGGAACAGTAAACAGTCTCAGCAACTGGCCTTCCTAAAACACGAGTCCATATTTACATTTATATGTTTATACATAGATATATGTGTGTGTGAGAGAGAGTGTATGTGTGTACACATATATATCAAGTTTGCTGATCAAGTATTACAGTGGTTGTGCACTTATTGAAAGACCCAGCAAAAATGCAAACGAGAAGAGGCAAAGAGGAAAGAAAGCTGGTTGATGTGCCCTTAGGCAGCCGTAGAAAAATATACATGAAAATGTGGAGGACAGGAGGAGAAAGATGGAGGCGAGAGGAATCTGACTTAAGAAGGCAAAACAGTTTTTTGCATTTTCCTGTCTGGAAGAGGATGGACATCTAAATGAGTTCAGACCAATCACATTCTCGGTATTTAAAAGAACTAAAAACTCGATCCTCAAATGGGTTTGACCACATGAATGCAAAATTAACATCTTTTAAAGTCGCAGCATGATTTATAAACTTGTCCACAATGCACTTGAATCTTTCCGAATGTAATACATTTCATAAGGCAAGCTTCTTAGAAATTAAAGCTTTTTAAATGAATGTTACCCAACTCCTTTAGATGTAAGCCTGTTTCCCGGTCTCTGTCTCAGATGGAAAAACAACAGTAAAATCTAGCTGGATAAAATTATCAGTCCTTTATATTATTAGACTCTGAAGTCGGAAAAGACTTTGATGTTCCAAAAATTCAATGCAGATGGCATTGTTTTGACTTTGCTCTTAGAAAGCCAAACTTAAAGAATATGATCTTCATCTCAAGTATGGAACTGAAGCTCCTTGAGGGTAGGCACTGAAACTTGATTCATTTTTAATCTCCCTATAACATCTAACATAAAATCTTTAACAAAGTAGATGTTAAAAAAAAAACCCACAGAAAGAATGAATACACTTGACAAGCCACCTCATTATCCACAGGCAGACATCTGAATGTGGTAGCAAAGATTTTAAATCTCTCTTAATGAAGCAGCCCATCTTCACTTTCTCAGTTGAGAAAGTTGAGTACAATTAGAGAAAGTAGAGCATTTTCTCTCTGATGTGGTCTTTGGCATGTTTATGCCTCCATTTCTTGTGCATCAACTCTGAGTGCACTTTTGAACATAAAGCAGCAGCTTATTTATGTAAAAGTATGTCACCCCAGAGATGCTTAGCTCCATCAAAGTCTAGAGCAGTTCTCTAAGTTCTAGTGGGCAGGGAATCAAACAGCTAATTTAAATGCTGAATTTGTATCTTGGTGTAGTTCTGAGGGTTTTTAAATTTTTATGTACACATTTTATTCATTTATATCATGTCTTCCATCTTTTGAAATCTTATGGAAAAATTCTAAAGGAGGATTTTCAAAGAGCTCTCAATCTGGAAAGGGTGACACATATGTAAACATAATTATAATAGAGAACAGAAAGTATAAATGTTGACGTATTGAGACCACAGATATAGCTCAGGAAAGGGAGAAATTAATTCTGTCAAAAAGTGAATGGAATTGCATAGGGCTGAAGAATTTGGGGAGAAGGGGTCAGGAATTACTGCTAATAGGCACAGGGTTTCTTTTTAGTCCTAAATGAGCACACAGGAATGTATTTTTATAACACCTCTGTGTATTAGCAGTCCAATGTAGCAAGTCTGAATCTACATAAACAACAGTAAAAGAAGCTTTTTATACTCACCGTGAGTGTTGGGCAGTCAGAGACGTTCAACTCTTGCAGATTTCTACAGTGGCCTAAATCAAACAAGTTACACATCTCTAAAAAACATATCATGAATGTTTAAACTTAAAGTTTTTCCATCCTACATTCAATGTGATGTATTCATCAGAAAACAAGCAAAAACCTTGGCAAGTGATTTGTTCTAAGTATATGGTTTCTTTTCCCAGAAAATAGGTTTCTTTTGGCCTAAAAATTAAAATATATGCACATTTATTATTATTTGAAGATTACAGGAGGAAGGGGGAAATAAAAATGCTACTTTTGGAAAAACAGTATATACATGGAGCTTTTAGCTTGGAAGAACGAAGAAACCATCCTGCTTTTTTTGTAGCATGCCTTCTTTATTCATTTTTGTTTGTTTGTTTTGTTTCCTTTCAACATTTTATTATGAAAAATTTCAAACATACAAAAAGTTAAAAGGATTGTACAACGAATACCCATGTACTCACCACCTAGATTCTATAATTTACATTTTACTATATTTGCTTTATCACATATCCACCCACCTCTCTATCTGTCCATCAATCCACCTTACATCTTTATGAATTTCAAAGTAAGTTGCAAATCAGCACACTTTTCCTAAATACTTCAGCATGCATATCATTAATAGAGTTCAATATTTGTTTACGACTTTCTAGGTTAGAATTACATACAATTTTTATACAATGAAATGCAGATAGAGAAGTGGAAGGCTGGAAAGGCTAAGTGCCTGAATAGCTCTAGGACCAGAGGCAAGTGCTAAGCCTGGGCTCCAACCTGGTCTCCATACCCGAAAGCCACTGCATAGCTTATGGTCTCACGGAGAAGGCGAGACATGTATACAAATAGCTAGACGGCAAAGCATTCCACAATCTGTGCCCTGGATCTGGACGGAACTAAGTGCAACTCCAAATCCGAGACAGAAGAAAAGAAGTTAGGGGAGGACATACAAACCAATGAATAGGAGGAATTATTGAGGCAGAGAAGGGGGAAGGCATTCTAGGTGGCGGAGACCCCATGAAGCAGGAAAACTCCAGGCAAGGGGTGATCCTAGCATTCGGACTGCTACAATAGAAAAAAACGTCTGCTGCTTATAACCACATAGCCCCACGCGAACACGGACAGAAATGTTATTCATTATAAATCCATATCGAGCATTTCTTCCTTTGCCAAGAGTGGACTATGTCCTAAGTAATACATGCAAACCAGAAATACTTTCAGAATTAAATAAATGAATACAATTCTTAAGAATGTCTTGATCTTAGACGTCATCAGTAAAGAAAAAAATAGGTTCCCAAAATAATGTAATTAAGCGTATGAGATAAATGCTCTTATAGAATAGCTACTTTATACTTTCATAAATTCAGCAAATATTTATTGAGAGTCTACTATGTGCCAGAGACACTATAGGTGCTGAAAATATAGCAGCAAACAAAATAGAAATCCTGCCCTTATGGGGGTGCTTTCTAGTTGGAGGAGACTGAGAGTAAACAAAAGAAGGAATGTATCTACTTTGACAGATGGTGATAAGTGCTATGGAGAAGGGGGTGAGTAGGAGGGGATGTGATTTTAAATAGGGTGGTCAGAGAAGGCTTCACTGAGAAGGTGGCATTGAGCCAAGACCCACAGGAGATGACAAGGACAATGCAATTTACTCTGAGCATTTCTGGAGCCCACAGTCAACGTGGCTGGTGATTGGGAAACAGAAAAGAAAACGCAAGCTCAGGAGGACAGGCATTTGAGTCCTACTCTTGGTTGCTCATCTCAAGGCTGAAAGGAATTCCCTTAATTTTTTTTTTAAATGATGAACTACAAGTTTAAGTTTTCATATACGGTTGCTATGAGTCAGAATTGACTCGACAGCAATGGGTTTTTAATGATGAGCTCTAACATTTGTGGCTTACCCAGGACCAGGTACTGTAAAAGGCTTTGCAGGCATCAGCTCGTTCGATCCTCCCAACAATATAATGGGGTGTCCTTAGCCCCATTTTACAGATGCTGAAAATGAGGCTAAACAACTAGCCTGGGGTTGCACAGTTAGCAGGTAGGAGAGCACTGATTCAAAGTTAGGGCCATACGTCAGGCAAGTAAGAGGGTGCGCAGCCCGCCTCACCACTTCTGCGTAAATCTTTTTATCTGGAGTGCCCATGCTTAAAAAATAAAGTAACATTGTGCTTGCAATGGTCCTTGACAACTTGTAATATTCTTTTTCTTTTCCAGCCCAGGAACTCCACGTCCCCCAGCTGGGTCTTCTTGTTCCTGAACTGCATTAGTTAAGATTACTCAAACTTGGATTTCAAAGGAGTACTTTCATTGCTCCATCTGTCACACCCAGTAATTGGGGCCAGCTGGATGTCAGGATGCGTGTGGTCACCATTGTAATCCTGCTCTTCTTTTGTAAAGCCGCTGAGCTCCACAGGGCAAGCCCTGGGGGCTCCCGAAGCCAGGCGAATCATGGCAGGGCCAGAGGGGGCCGGAGAGCCTCCAATCTGGTCAAACGCTATGCGCCAGGCCTCCCCTGTGAAGTGTACACTTATCTTCACGAGAAATACTTAGATTGCCAAGAAAGAAAACTAGTATACGTGCTGCCCGGCTGGCCCCAGGATTTGCTGCACATGTTGTTAGCAAGAAACAAGATCCGCATATTGAAGAACAACATGTTTTCCAAGTTCAAAAAGCTGAAGAGCCTGGATCTGCAACAGAATGAGATCTCCAAAATTGAGAGTGAGGCTTTCTTTGGTTTAAACAAACTTACCACCCTCTTACTGCAGCACAACCAGATCAAAGTTTTGACAGAGGAGGTGTTCATTTACATGCCTCTCCTGAGCTACCTGCGCCTGTATGACAACCCTTGGCACTGTACTTGTGAGATAGAAACACTTATCTCAATGTTGCAGGTTCCAAGGAACCGGAATTTGGGGAACTATGCCAAATGTGAAAGCCCACAGGAACTAAAAAAAAAAAAACTGCGGCAGATAAAATCTGAACAGTTATGTAATGAAGAAGAACAGGAACAACTGGACCCGAAACCTCTAGTGTCAGGGAGACCTCCAGTCATCAAGCCTGAGGTGGACTCTACTCTTTGTCACAATTACGTCTTCCCCATACAAACGCTGGACTGCAAAAGAAAAGGTTTGAACTAAATTTCTTTTACTTTCCTTCTTGTGGACAATTAAAAATGCTCTTTTGAGTCTTATAACCCTCCCTACACCCCACCATGCCTTGGAATATCTGGGGTCACTTCCACCAGAACTCTTCTCCCAATGGCAATGGAATTTACTACAAGTATTTCTAGAGTCCAGACTCCCATAGTTGGTGACTGGGGAGGGTGCAGTAGAAGAGAGGTAGAAGCATGCTCAGGAGGGGCAACATTTTGGCAGAGCTTCCAACCAGTTCAAAACAGTTAATGGTTCAGTAATTGCCAACTTAAATAAGGGCAGCGTGCACGTTGAGGGAGCCACTGTTTATTTCCTAACCAAAACAAATCTTCTGTCTGTGGGGTTTTGATGGCAGGAGAAAACAAACAGCTGTGCCCTGCTCAAAAATGGCAGCCGACCTTGCAGCTTTCAATGTGTCACCTTCTACGGTTCTGCCATTAATTCAATCTCCCGCATCAGGCTCCTGAAACTTTTGGGATCCATGCAGGAGACTGAAGCCCTGGTGGTGCAGTGGTTAAGCTTTTCGGATGCTAACCAAAAGGTCGGCAGTTCGAATCCATCAGCCACTCCTTGGAAACCCTATGGGGAAGTTCTACTCTGTCCTATAAGGTCGCTATGAGTCGGAATAGACTTCATCACAATGGGTTTGGGTGGGTTGCAGGAGACTGGATTATCGGCAAGACTGTGGAGAGTGACACACATTCAAAGTAGCGCGCTTAGGCTGCCATCTTTGAGCGGGGAACCAGTGTTTGTTTCCTAACCAAACAAAACCTGTTGCTGTCAAGTCAATTCAGGCTCATAGCAACCCTATAGGACAGAGTACAACTGCCCCAGAGAGTTTCCAAGGCTGTACTTTTTACAAACGATGCCTTTGAATTATGGTGTTGGCAAATAATATTGAATATACCACGTAGTGCCAAAAAAATGAACAAATCTGTCTTGGAAGAAGTACAGCCAGACTGCTCCTTGGAAGCCAAGGATGGAGAGACTTGGTCTCACGCACTTTGGTCATGTTATCAGGAGTGG